TCTAACGGTGATTCGACGATTGTGACAACATAACACCACAAAAAAATCGAAAATCGAATCCACGTAACCCACGGAAATTCATAAATAGCGATACTTTTTGAACAGACCTCGTCATTAGGACGGAAATTCTTCAATTCGGCATTACATACATTATAACTGCATGTGAAATACGATATGCTCAATTATTGTTTTCTGAACTTCAAGTATAAAAACTATAATTGTAGGTATCTAAGTGACTTATAGCATTAGAAAAAACCATTTCATATTTCATTTCCTCTTTAAATAGGAACTTAATTACAAGTGGGCCGTGCTTAGTGTCGTCTAAATGAAGTAAATAACCGACGGGTGGCCTGACAACAGTGCCGCAATGACGGGGGCGGCGGGGCAAAGCGGTTCGAACAAAACTTATTTCAACTGTCTTGTTAATAGCGTTATCTTCGTATCACACACCGACAAACTCATTTAGTTTCATCCGACATTACCTACTTATCCTGCCCTCTTAATTAACTAATTAAATATGTTTATAAATTTAATTAAGCCGTGCCTTATCTTCCAAAACTCACTTATGCCATACTTCGTACGGTATTTCCTCTGAAATTCACGTATAACGTGGCTGATTGTTTCCGACAAATTCCTTTAGTGAGGGAAGACCTACACATCGTGGTAAGATAGAAAATAATGGTCACGTGAAAGATTGACTTGAATGCCTAAGGTTTCGTACTATTTGAATTTCATTTATTATCCACTACAATTGAACACAGAAAATAATAGAATTCTCGGAAATTAATAGAGATAAAAGGTAGGATTCTTATTTTTGGTATCTTCGAAGCTGTAATTACAATACCTATTGTTATTTAGTACCATTCATACCTAAAATATGCTCCTATTTAATAACTGCATAACAAAGTAATTGACGATAAAATAATTCCGTAAACTAATCAATCAGAGAAACCATATCCACCTTAAACTGACAATGTATGATACTTTATATGTGCCACCTAACCTAAGGTTAGATTGTGATGAGATACTTGATACATAGCACTCAACCCTTGGTGCATAATATTTTCGATAGTATTAACCCTTAAAACGTAACACTATACATGCCGTACCATAACCTAACTTAATCATTTAATTCACAGTACTTATACTAGTACGTAACTCTTTCAGTACATAACACTTCACACATGTCAACCAAGAAAACCTTATCTCATCATAATCTAACCTTGTTCTTTGGTGCACGACATTTGTCACATGTTAATCAATAAAACCTTATCCCGTCTTAACCTTTATGCATAGCACTTAATCCTTGGAGTGTAGCACTAACATTTCGCACATACTAATCAGAGAAACCCAACCCTTCCATGAACTGACCTAATCCGTTTGTTCATAGCGATAGTACGTGCAACATTTAACCATAGGTACACAACACTTCACACATGCACCAATCAGGAAAATCTTAATCCATCGTTACCTAAACTTGTTCTTTGGTGCATGTTATTTCTCGCATGTTAATCAAGAAAAACTTATCCCATCTTAACCTACCCTTTGTCCTTATTGCATAGCGCTCAATACATAATGCATAGCATTTAACTCTTGAAGCATAGCACTTCAGTCAGGGAAACCCAACCCTTCCGCAAACTACGCTAATCCCTTTGTTCATGGCGATAGTGGGTACAACATTAACGCTTGGTGCTCAACACTTCAAACATGCCAATCAGGAAAACCTTAACCCATCGTAACCTAGCTTTAGGCCTTGGCGCATAGCACTCAACACTTGATACATAACACTTAGCCAGATTTCACACCGAAGTAGCAAATGCATGTAACGTAGCACGTGGCGTGGCAAATAGCAGCGAAAATATTTAAAACGCACCTATGCGAATGGTGATGTACACACTGACGTGAAGTAACAGTGCCGTGGCACGTAGCATACCTACTGCCACTTGCAAAGATATGTTTGGCGATACATTTGCCACTTGTAATTTCCGTGCAGCCTGGCCCTGATGGTTCGCAGTAGTTTGGAGCTAATGCATCTGAGTTGTAGTACATATTTCCAAAAACATCAGGGTAATAAAATGAAAGATATGTCAGATTTTAATGTGCACTTTGTACAAGAAATAGAAAAGCAGAATTGCTTGTATGACAATACAACTGCTGAATATAGTAACCGGGATATGCAAAGAAGTAGCTTGGAATGAAGTCGCAAAAATAATGAAAGGAACTCGTAAGTTTAGTCTTTTCTTCGTTATATCGTTCTTCGACACTCACTGCCCTCCTGTAGTTGGTGTCTTTAAACGTCAAATTATTTTTCATTACCTTTACTAGTTTTGTAAAAGTTTTTCTTTCCATCCGATAAAAATTTTGAAATTTTCGTGGATGTAAATTCAATTGCTTTGAAATAATAAACACGCTGTGTTCATTTACATTTTCTAATAAATACGGATGTATCCACATCCTCTTCCGCTTTTTTCTTCTATTTATTGCGGCGCAAAGTAGAACCGTAGCAGTTTCTTCGTCCGACGAAGACGACATCTTCTATGCATCTATGCGATTGCTACCTTGATGTGAACATGTCTGCATCTTTTTTGTCACGTTACATGCTGCTAGCCACGTATCGTGCTACGCTACGCAGTATGTTACTTCGGTGTGAAATCTGGCTTAGCCTTCGGAGCACTTTCCACACTCCAATCAGGGAAACCCAGTCCTTCCGCAAGCAAACCCAACCGCTTTTTTCACAGCAGTGCTAGGTACAGGATTTAGCCCTTAGTGCACAACACTTAACACATTGTCAATCAGGAAAACCCTATCCCATCATAACCTGGCCTTGTTCTTTGGTGCATACTACTCATTATTTGTTGTATAGCACTTCACTCTTAGCACACTCCAGTCTGGGAAACCCAACTCTTCCGTAAACTAACCTAACCCCTTTGTTAATAGCAGTGGTAGGTGCAGCATTTAACACTTAGTGCACAACAGCTGACACATGCTAATCAGGGATGCCTATTCATACCACAACCTAACCTGGTCTAACATGATGGAGTACTCAAGAAATATTTCAAATAATATTTCCTCCTCAAATCTTTAAGTCTATTGGTTTAGATTGTGCGTTGTTTATGTCAGCTATTCAGTCATAATATCCTATTTTCAGAAAGCGGTCCTCTAGCCAAGGAGGAGTTAAATTCAAAATTAGAAATTTATTGCATTGAGCCTGTTGATTTTTTGTAGCTTTTCTATTAATCAACTATTTCGATACGAAAAATCCAAATAGAAAAATAAAAAAAAAGTTGCAACGAAATTGAAAAGCATCAAGAAAAGCTTGTTTTTGTGTCTTTTGATAACATCCTAACATCCTGCATATTTTATAGACGTTCTCATCTATCGAATGTTTACCTATATCCCTGAATAACACTGTGTATCACCATTATTTCTTCCTTACTGAAACGGTATAACAGGCACTGACAGGAAGCATCTGCTGCCTAGTTAACGCTCACAAAGCAGTGTATTGAACTATATAAGTAATAAAGGTTTATAATATGCACATAGTTTACTAACACGTTAGATCAATGACATACTGTGTTTAACTTGTGTAAATCGTCTTTTTATTTGTCAAACTATAAACCAAAAATTTTCTCGTTAATTTGATTTGTATGAACGAGAGGGATGATGTTGGGATAGGTATTATTTATTGATTACTGTACTAAATTATTTGTTATTTCGTTATACGAGGCCTTTTCAAAAAGTATCGCGAATTTTATGTTATTTCAAAAATTATTGTTCAGTTCCTTCGATCCCGTCTTTATCTCCTCAATCGTAGAGTAGCGTCGTCCTTTCGTGGGCTTCCAGCTTCGGGAACAAGAAAAAGTCACAGGGCTAGATCTGGGAATACAATGGCTTCAGCATTACTAGTATGTTGTTTTTAGCCGAAAATTCGCGCACAAGCAACGATGTGCGAGCAGAGGCGTTTTCATAGTGAATTGCTTCATGCAAATTGCGGATAACTTGCAGATAATATTCCTTATTAACCGTTCTACCCTACGGCAAGAACTCATGATGCACCACGCCCCTGCAATCGAAGAAAATTGTAACCAAAACCTTCACATTCGACCTACCTTGGTGCGCTTTTTTCGGTCTTAGCTTATGCAACAACTTCATAACCATAAACCCATGATTCGTCACCAGTCATGACCCTCTGGAATAAACTTGGGTCGTCGAGTCCAACAGCTCCTTAGCAATGTTAATGCGATGCTGTTTTTCGTCGAAATTGAGCAATATTGGTACAAATTTCGCAGTGACCCGTCTCATGCCCTAATCGTTGGTAAAAATCAAATGGCATGAGCTATTCGATATATGATTCGACGATCGACCAATACTATTTTCTTCACTGAATACAATATGAATCTCTAGGTTGAATACATGAACAAATGTTGGTGATGAAAAACTATCCCTTATCTTAGATTATAAACTTAAATCAGGGAAAAAACAGTGAATGGAAGAAAGAAATGTTACACTTTGCATTAGGTTAAATGTGGCACCTACGAAGGGGTAAGAGAAAAAAAGGGAGGAAGAGTATAATTTTATTTTTTGAGATATTTAATTTTAATAGTTTAAAAANTTATGTATATATGATTTTTGTTTTAATAAATGCTTTTACTTGCTTAACTGAAAATTTATTTCAAAATTTTTAAATTTTCCTTCAAATTTGAGGGTCCGTTGTTCCATCCCCATAGTTTCTACCGTAGGTATTAAATATTTAAAGCACACCAACAAACAAGCTTATAAAAAAGGACTGCGATTAAAAAAACAAACAATGCATTCATTAATAACCGGCCAGCAACCCCATTCTATCGTGTAAAAGAGAATCTCCTTTTTCTTTGTATTTTTTTTTTATATTCCTCCCGTTGTCATGATTGTACATATACAGCTGTGTCCACCTACTTTGTATGTAGAATGAAAACTGTCTTAACAGATTAATCTATATCGTTCCTTTTTTTTGTTTCCAGAGTTTAAATCGAGATCGCCAACTTGCTCGGAGGATTCGGGCAAGCGCTCGGAGGATAGCAGTTTACATGACAGTTTTCATCAACAGTCTTTCTTCACGACCGTCCAACTGAAAAAGCGACCCGGAGAAGCTCTGGGAATAACCGTTACGTCAGGTAAGATGTTTCATTGTTTTCATGCGAAAGCAATCCAGGAAAATGTCAAATTATCTAGACAAACCTAAGCCCAAATGAGAAACAATTTATGTATTAGATGAGCGTTTGTTTCTGTCGTTTTAATGTTAAAGTCGAAAAGTTGAAATGAAAACGAATTAAAAGTTAAAAAAAATGGTAACAAACTTTAATAAACAATTAGGAGTTGTTTAAATTAATGAAAGAGTAATTGACAATTTTTAGCAAATCATAGGATTTGCTATTTTCTGAGAAGGTTCCACCGTCATATTAACCGCAAGTCTATAGTTGAAAACATTTAATTTATTATGGTAATATTACATGTATGAATCAGTGTCCTGGTACTTCCCTTTGATTTAAACCATAGACAAGATTTAGACCTGGAATGTTCATACACGGTATGAAGGAAACTTTCATGAAGAAATAAAAATAAACATTCACAAATTATTTGTGTCGATTTCTATGTGGAATTATTACTTGAAAAAGCTAAATATCTGTCTTTAATACAGAATGTGATGTTTATTATTTGCCCATCGTCACAAACAGATCGCTGTATAATATTGTTCTGCATGTCTGTGGTTCTAACATAGGTAGATTTGTAACGGAAATCAGTGCAGCTGAAACAGCCGATGATGGAATACTCCAAAATTAGCTAACTATTACAAACTAAATTACCTTCGCTATCCCCACTGTTGTCGCTTAATAGGAATTTCTAATTAAAGATTACCAGTCTATTGAGATGTTGAACGTGTTAATGTGACAATACAGAATGTTATTAGGTTAGGTTATAGTATGGAGAAACCCATTGGAGAGCATGCTGTGCCTCAGGCTTACGTTAGGTTGTGACGATAGAAAAAGACTCTGCGGTAAAGGTCTGGATGATGGCCCCCAACCCCCTTCGGGGGTGTGGGTGGGAGGGATCGAAAGAGGAGGTCACCCCACCACTGTACCATAACAAGTACGTAGCGGTCTCACCCCCATAAAAAGTTATGAGGGTTCAAAGTTAACAAAAAAAGCCAATTTTTGTACATTTCTAGGCATGTAAATATTTATATAGTCATTCTTAAACAATATTAAAAGGTAAAACTAATGAAAAATACATAAAAATATTGAGAAAGTTATATAAAACATTATTTAAATATCTTTATCAATACGTTACCTTAGGTTAGGTTATAGGGTTTTGTTCAAGTGACCACCCTCTTTCGATCCCCCCCATCCCCACGCCCTTAGGGGGGGGCATCATCTAGACCTTTACCGCCTCCGCGATTGGTTTATGCGAAGTGCAACGCCCCATAGGGGGGAAAGATTTCTCTGATTGGTGTTTCAGAGGTAAGAAGTTATGTTAATTTGTCGTATGGGGTTATGAGGTACCGCCATAAGTAAAGTGGATGTAGTATGCAGAAACAGGAGTTAACAGAAGTAGAATCGGACCTAGATTGTTATAGGATGTCCTAGTTTTAAAAAAATACGAAGAAAATTAGAAAGAGTGGAGTAATCTTAGGATTGATGAACCTACGATGATGATGCTGATGATATTTATGCACCATAATAATTGTACCATTTGTGCAAATTTAAACGTGTTCAACTGGTATTTAATAATTACTTACTAAGCCGTTATGTTATCAATTAAAACGCGATTTGTCTAGGAAAAACTAGTTTTAACAATTTTCTTTAAGCAGTTCTAGTTCCGAATATCAGGTAGATAATCCTAGTTACAACTAAAGTATTTTATCTAACCATACTTTACGTTTTAGTCACACACGCGTGAGCCTTGTGGTAAGTTGTTTGGCACTATCTTTTATAGAACGTATTAGAGATATTTAATTTCATACGTATGTATTGATTTTTCACCGTAAGTACTTACATTATTTCAAAAGCATTTGTTGATTTAAAAAGTAAGGGACGCGCATAATTAATGAAGAAGGGCAGAGAACGCTAATTGCGATAAGGATATCAGCGCTCGTTAAATATGCACCTAGGGAAAAGCCTACCCTTGCCTGTGTTGTACGACGACGTGAAAAAGCTCGTTACAATAAATGTAATTAACAGTTGAAGCGGTTTTTGAAATATTGTTGTTTTTAATTAACCTAAATCCAGTTAAGAAAATAATTGTAGGTACAAATTACAAACTTGCTCAAGCAAAAAGAAATCCGTATTCTAAAATAAAACGTTTTTTAAAAAATTAAAAATTAGATAAGCAATCCCAGTGTTTCTGTCACCAAACTATCTTTTAAACGGTTTTTCTTTCGTATACGAGGTCTATTCAAAAAGTATCGCGAACTTTGTGTTTTTTCAAAAATTACTTACTCATTCATGAATATCTATTTTGTCGCTTTCAAAATAATCACCACCGAATATTTTACACATGTGACAGCGTTTTCTTACAATTCTCGAAGCACTTCAAAAAATCATTTCTTGTGATCTTGTTCAGCTCCTCGTTCGATGCCGTCTTTATCTCCTCAATCGTAGCGTAACGTCGTCCTTTCGTGGGCCTGTTCAGTTTCGGAAACAAGAAAAAACTCGCAGGAGGTTAGATTTGGCAAATACGGTGGCTGCGACATTATTAGTGTGTTGTTTTTGGCCAAACATTAGCGGAAAAGCAGGGGCGTTATCATGGTGCAAAAGCGTTTCTGGCGCATTGCTTCGCACAAATTACCCATTACTTGCAGGTAATATTCCTTAATGACCGTTCTACCCTGTGGCAAGAATTCATTGTGCACCACGCCCCTGCAATCGAAGAAAACTGTAAGCAAAATCTTCACATTCGACCTAACTTGGCGCGCTTTTTTCGGTCTTGACTCGTGTGGCAGCTTTCATCGTAATGATTGAGCTTTAGTTTCCACGTCATAACCATAAACCCATGATTCGTCACCAAGTATGACCCTCTGGAGCAATTTGGGCGTCACGGTCCTTAGTAATGTAAATGCGATAGAGATTCTTTGATTCATTTTTTGGAATTTGCAAAAATCGAAAACGACCCAAAACACGCGCAAGCAAAGCAGCCATGAAAAATTAACTGAACATTTAACATAGCTGAACTTGTCGATATATGTGAGAGACATGAGTACCAACATAAATTGAAAATGGAATATACATTACCCACGGAAATTCAAAATTCGTGATACTTTTTGAACAGATCTCGTAGACGGTGTGCAAAAAATTTGAGGTTTTGTCAAAATTCTATATCGAAATGACGATAATGTTGCGTTTGCCATGTCTCCAGAGTAATCCTGGGCGGTAATTGATCTTAGTTATCAATTATCGATTACAAAAAATATCGATATATCAATAAATTAATAGTTACATCACTTTCGTATACTTTCGATGAAAAAACATGTTAATGTTTAGAGGTTTCCCAGGATATTAGTAAGCAAAAGGTGCGTTTATAGGTGCAGACTTCAGAACAACTCTAGTTGACCAAATTGATATACTGTAAATTAAAAATGGTATTTACCCATTTATCGTTAGCTATAAAGATTATGAATATTTGTTGGGAAATGAAGGTCCCAGATCATTTTTAAGATGATGCCCTGAAATTGTTGAATAAAGCTATAGTGAACAAATTATACAGTTTATTTGAAGTATGTAGTGTTATTTGTTTCAATATTTTTTGTATTTATTTCTATTATTATTTTTAGTTTTTAGCACTTACATGAGTGTTAAATTTCTAATAATATTTCAACTAATGTTTAATTATAAAAATTAGTCTTTAGACCCTTTAAACTACGGGGACAGGGACTGCAGCCCCTCTGCTCCCCCTTTAAAGACGGCACTGCGCTGGCTCAATTGGGGGGTATAAATAAAAGCTAGTTAATAAATAAAAACGTATATTTCTTATTAATTGCAAGGCGCAAATAATGTTGCGTACCTTCTTTCATCAGATTTTATTAGTTCACCATTTTTAAAAACCGTTCCATCTTGTACATTTCCTCGAGCACCGTGCCAAGTAGTATAAATTAATCAAAGCAATGCACCTGTGTATAATGCAGGTGTGCCGAGAACTTCTTAAATACATATATCGTATTTATTACAATTTGTAGGCGTACTTAAAATTAGACGCGGATAGCTACCCTATTGCCTAAATAATCACATCAGTTTCAACTTAATTCTTTTTGTTGGCTTATTTTGTATCGCACTCGACTTCTTCTATTTGTGCACTATTTGTATCAAGCGTCTATTTCCGGAAATTTACCGTAAATTCCTTTTATCGTGCAGCCTTTACTTGCAGTTTGATTTATGGTCCTCGGTTGCATCAAAGTTGTCGACATTATCGATTACTGTCTGCGGCATTCGTTCGCAAGATAATAAATTATAAGAAACCCTACATTTTTCAGTAAAATCGTAGACAATTTCGATTGAATGCTAACCATTGTTCATGTCACTGTTACAGTAAATGATATCCACAAAAGTGGAAATTTGCTGTACATTAATATATATTACAAATACCAACAATATGACCCATATTTTGACAATGTTAAATGGGACAAGATGTTAAATATACTTAAAAGATATAAGAGTGATATTAAGTTTGTATAAAGAGCAACAGGCAGTTATAGAGATGGGGCTGCAACGTAGAGAAGTAAACATTAGGAAGTGAGTCAGACAGGGATGCACACTGTCACCGCTGTTTTTTAATCTATTCATGGAAGACGCGATCAACATTGTTAAAGACAGTACAACTGTGAGTGATAGATATACAAGGACAAAAGATTAGTATGCTTAAATTTGCAGATGATATAACAGTAATTGGCATCTAGCAAGGAGGAGTTAGAGATAGTTTTAAATGAAATGGAAGCGGTATTGACAAAACAGTACTGTATGAAAATAAATAAAAGTAAAACTAAAATATTGGCATTCAAGGAAAGAAAAAGTAGGTAAAGAGCGAGCATAAAGATAGGGGACGAAAAATTAGAAGAATTTTGGGTATCTAGGAAGTCAGATAAGTCAGGACGGAAGGAGTAGTTAGGGATATGAAGCAAAGGATA